TAGTATGTACTCCAGTAAAGCTTGCTTGCTTCAATTCTTGCTGTTACCATCTGCACATTATCAGGGTGGAGAGTTGATTTGAATTTTTTGTCCCAGGGGATAAAGGTAGGGAATAGATTTTCCATCACAAAAGGGGCAAGGTGCCCAACCAGTTAAAAGATGGCATGTACTTTAAGTGACCATTCATTATACCCTAGGGTGGGGTGGGAGATTCTTATGTCAAAATGTCATGGGACCCCTTTTTAATCTCTTAATTTAATATTGGAGACCCCTCCTAAATATTTAAGACTATATAACATGATGAAATTCTAATCTTCATTCATGTGAATGCCTGACTATGAAAAAAATACATTTTGCAACACAGGGATGGATCCAGCATGATCTGGTAGGGGGGGGGGGTGCTCTGCCAGCTCTGGTGCCGAGTTGTGTTGGTCATGTGTGCCGCCGCCCATCAACTTGCTTCACTACTGCAAAGTCTTGCTTTACTATACTGTATTTGAATTGTAATTGTTGTTCACAGCTCGCTTATCATCATGTTATTACTCAAATTACTGTATCTCATTTTGCCTGTAATAATTTTTTGCTTTATCATGAAAAATAGAATCCCCCTGCACCCCCTCTGGCCAGGGCTAGGGGAGTGCACAGCCCCCCACCCCCCAGTAAATCCATCCCTGTTGCAACATACACTACAAGAGCTAGAATGATTGCTTCCTTTGGTTGATTTGTCTTAGAATTATGTTACCTATATTACAACAATTCTTCCTATTCTGAAACCAGTTGCTATTCTGTTTTTTACAACACCCCCCCCCCCACCCCCGAAAAAAACAACCCTCAACAAATCAAGGACCCCCTCCAAGGCAATTTTGTCAGCAAAATAGATTAAATTTGATGGTAATTGTTCTGAGAATATATTAACTCATTGAGTGGCAGCATTCTGCCTAGACTTGCCACAAGTCGACCTCAAACGAAACGCAAGCAGCGAGTGTGAGCCAACGTTTCGTTCGAGGTCGACTTGTGGCAAGTCTACATTCTGCCTTGAGTAAAATTATCTGGCACCAGACGGAGTAATATACTAAAGTAGGGACATTGCCACTATAAAGGGTTAAACAAATTAAAAAAAATTTGCAATGGTCTATATTCAAAAAGCTCAATTTGTAAATTTTAATTGACTTTAATTAAATTAATATAACTACTTATACTTATAGCTACCTTGCCCCAGTCACTTCAAGTGAATTCTATGGGAGGAGGGGGACATTGAAAATCCCTGGGTTTACTTGATAAAAGCAAGAATTGAACCATGCATTACATGTATATGGAGAGCAGTTTTAAATATATTTTATCATGCAAATACCTTGATAATTGTTCTTAAACGTCTTTGGCTTAGAATGGGTACACCCTCCAAAGATGTTTATTTACAGGGTCCAAAGGTGTAAATATACACTGTCCAAGGTGTTATAAACAACAAAAACAATGTATATAATTAAATTTTATTAAATAAAATGTGGAATATTTTACAAATTGCATTACCATCCCAAAGTGTACATAATTTATCAATATAATTAGGACTTAGAAGCTGTTCACATGAGTTTGACTCTGACCCAGCACCCTTGGCTTAGCTCCCCTTGCCCGATCACAAGTAGAAAACCTCCAACCCCCTCTGACAAATCAGTCCAGATCTGCCAAAGAGGCAGGATTTTCTGGAATATTATTAGCAGTGAAATTGTTGCATATTTTCAAGCATGCATTGTAACCTGATTTTAAAGCCTGTTTGAACATCAGACATTGTGGCAATGGCAAGATGGTCCAGCCATATGAATACAATCTTAAAATATCATAAAAACAATGCAATTTAAGGCCAGACAGCCCAACTCCGGCGAACAGCCCTTTATTACACATTTGAAGCATCTCTTGAGGCATCAAAGTACTGTACATGCAGGCACATGGAATTACATACGAGTATGTGACATAAGCCCACCATTGCACAACTTTGTCTGCAACAATGCAAATACAACAAATGCCAATACAATCAAGCTGGAAACGGATTTTATCAGTATTTTGATATATACATTATGGCTCATGTCCAAAGACACCTGCACTTTCATATTGAAATTGTTCTAATATCATCCAAACAAAACACATCAGAAAACTGTAACATCAGCCAAATGAGCAAATCACTTTTTTAACACAATTTATGGTAAAATGAAGCAACATGTAATAGTATCTGAAACAAAACCAAATCACATATTATTCAAAAGTTGTAAACACTGTTGCATATATGATATAACAAAATATCGTCGCATTTCTAGTGGTAACTAACTATAAATTAGGCCAATTTAAACTCGACTATGAAGAATATCAAAAACTAAAGGTCATATTTCAGTTTATAAACCCAGACTTTAGTTTTATAAATATAAACATTATAAACGCTATACGAAGCCAAATATGAAGGCACATTTTGCCCTAAATACTCGGTCAGAGCCTCAGAGGTGTGTTCTAGTACACAATTAATCTTCTCTCACAGTTTAAAACAAACAATAATACTAACCTTCGACAAATTGTGTATAAATCTTATCGAATTTAACCATTTTGCCACAGATTTTGCCAAAAATATTTCTTAGACGGACAAAGTATTAATAATGGAGACTCCTTGCATGAAATATTAATTTTTCCCAAAGTTTGAATAAATTAATCCAAGATTGCATTATTTGCATAATAATAACTTGTCATTGACCAATCAGAATACATAGAAGACCGGCCGGTGCCAGGGCCTTTTCCCGCCTTCCCAATGACAAAAAGGGAAAAGCCCTGGGAACGAGGTTGTATCCAGTCATGGTACCTCACACCCATTCATATATATATATATATATATATATATATATATATATATATATATATATATATATATATATATATATATATATATATATATATATATATATATATATATATATATATATATATATATATATATATATATATATATATATATATAAACAGCTGGGCATTTTGTACGGAGCATGCGCGAAAAAATCAATATGGCGACATATTTATAGGAGTGCTTCGTGGATTTATCTGGTTTTAAAGCTGATAAAACAACATTTCAATGAATAAAAACTTTGTAATATTTAGTGGAAAACATTAAGCTATGCAGTCCAAAGGTTTTAAATTAAAAATAAGTACTTTTGCTTTATTTTATTGCTTTTTATGCTTTCAAAATAGGCAAGCTCATTTTTTTTGAAAGAATCTAAACTAATATTTTATCCATCATTTGTTTAATCTGAACAGAAATTGATAGAACACTTGGCTACATAAGTTATAAAGGAATTGGTAGCTGATCTGAAAGATTTCAGTATTCCTGGTACACATTTTAGCAAAGAATGACTGTAATTTTAAAAATTAAATATGCATATCAAAAACAATAGTTTTTATTAGAACAACACATAATAAGTTGTTATTTTCTATTTTTACAAAAACAAGTTTGGAAACAGAATCTAGTCGTCCAGTTTGATGTCATATTTCATTTATTTGGATATTTGAATAAAGGAACGTGAAATAATAATTGAAACTTGTCCAAAATTTGATACCAACACTCAAGTGAACAGATACTATCACCTAAAAATAAAAGAAAACAGAACTTAAATTTGTCATATAATGCTATGAAAAAGTCTTAGATACTACAGGCCTATAGTGAGCACAATGCTTTAACAAACTCACTAAAATAAGTTAAGTTATGCTATGATAAGAGGATGGCAATATATGACAACATCAAATGTTACCATCTTCAGTGTCTAAAAAAAGTGCCGCGCGCATTTTTCCCAGCATACCCACTAACTTTTCCATGAAGGTTGACTAATAAGGATAGTTTTAAGCCATATTTCGGAGAGAGGCAATGGTAAAAATTTTAAGATATTTTTATTTATATGCCATATCACCACAGAATTTCACAACGCAAGCATGCCTATATTCAGGATTGCCGTTAGACTCTTAAAACTGAACAAATCAATGCGGCATTTCCTATCTCATAACAACCAATACTTGAACATTTTCAAAAGCATTTTTGCAGCAATTTTTACTTTATAACAAACCAATACAGGAGCAATTTCATAAGCATGTGACAACATGACATTTTCACTTCACAAGTGGATTTGTCAATTACAACATCTAGCACATTTTTCCCATGAATAGCCAGGTTTTAATAAAACAAAGTATGATTTAACTTTCATAAAATATATTTTCTAACTGAAGGCAACGGCCAGTTTTTACGAAATTGCAAGAGGAATATGTGTCATTTTCATCAAAATATGTATTTTAAGACACTTATTATTCCAGATGAGGAAGGACAAACAAATTATTGAACATACCTGTGGAAACAACAACAACTCAGCTTCTATCAAGAGTAAAATATGAACACTTCCTTGTTTCCATACTGCTGTACCCTGCTTCTGAAACTCTGACAATGAGTGAAACATTTCCACTTGTCGCCCATTTGTAAATAAAAATTCTTCGCACGTTTTCATGCGATTAAGTCGTTATATCGTTGCGTACAAGCACTACAACTTAATCTTTCAAGAAACACTTTATTTTCCATGAACAAACCAGTAAAAGAGGACAAAAAATCCTCTCACAATGCATATTTTCAGCGTTCGAAGAATCAAAATGTTTGTTAAAGAAATGCGCCCGCAATATTTGGACAGCGACAACAGAATGCCCAGCATTGAACTAAAAATAACTGGAACGCTACGTTCAAGCGGAAGTTTGAAGCTAAATTATACAAGCTCGTACACTGTACACAGGCTTTAAAAGGCCCGTTTTAAACTGAAAAGGCCCGTTTCCCTTTCGATTCGCATCTTGCCATGAAAACGTTCAAAACGGCATGCTTCAAGCGCCCCCTGTATTGTCTCGCGAGTAAATCGCGCAGTAGAAACACGCGTGGAAGTGCGTGTCTGGGAGTCAAAACTGGCTTCATTTGGCTTCATGGGAGTCAAATTTTGGCTTCAAAATTTGCATGCGCAGTTTACTGAACGTAGCGTTCCAGTTATTTTTAGTTCAATGAGACAGCGACAACAGAATGCCCAGCTGTTGCCTAAATTAAGAAATGAACCAAATGACCAACCTCGTACCCAGGGCTTCTGCGCTTATTGCTCTCAGAAGCCCTGGGATAATCCAACTCAGAACGTGATTTGATTGGTCAATGCGAATACAATGAAAGTACCGGAAGTTATTCATTAACCGGGTGATATTTTGGCAACATGTCTGCTATCACAAGGAGTGTATACAAAAGTTAAATGCTGGTTTTTGCATGAAAATACTTTTTTAAACCAAATTCTGGGCTATTTTGAAAAGAGCAAAAGAAGAAATGGACTATTTGTATTTGTAAATAAGCAAGAATGGCGAACAAAGTAAAAAATTTAATTAACATAATAAAGCGAAACATTTCTCGTTCGAAAATTGAAATTTCAAGTACAATCTACAACTTCAACCACGATATTCAATGTAAATATTACATAATAAAGTTTTTAATACCTTTTTACCTTTATTTGATAAATTGTGTGTTCTATATTATTGCATTTTGTATTGGAATAGGATAAATTATGAATTATACACAAATATTTAAATTTACAAATTATTCCCAACTTGAGGATGCTGGGTGCACTGGCTCAGAGTTTGTATTAGTGCCTATTTATTATTGAGTTATTAGTGCCTCTAAATCTCTAGATCTAATGTACAAACCTTGTAATCTGTTACTTAATACCATAAAGAAACTGTTGATAGCACATATATTAAATGACTATTAATCAAAATGAACTAAATTTTCGACCATTATATAGCATATTTCCCCCAATATTGAGGGAATAATTTCTCCTATTTATTTTTAAAATAAGCCAATATTGCCCAACTGTGAAGTAAATATTGCCCGACTGGCCTAGTCTGCCCAACATTTGAGCCCAGCCCTGTACGCCTATGACCAGGCCTACAGGTGGACCCCCAACCTGATTGGCCACAATTTTTTTTTCTCCAAAATTTCCCCTCCCCATGTACAAGGATTGACAATTTGACAGTTTGATTAGATTTGGAAAAAAAACACAGTTATATTGGGTCATTCCAGAAAACACCCATACCACTCCCGTGCAGAGGAAATTGAAAGTTAATCCCTCCTACCCCTTTGGATGTCCTAATATATTTACTATTATCAGAAAAATTTCCCCCCCCCCCTCCCCCTCTGAACGGCAGAAATTTCCTCTGTGGGGGGAGTGTGGATATTTTCTGGAACGACCTATTTGAGAAATGCTTTTGCACAAATTTTCTCAATTTTCTTGTATGTCAGAACACTGTTCTAAGTTGCAACTAAAATTCAGAGGTCTAAAAGGCTCAAGTCAATTCCAGTGGTGTAACCAGGGGGGGGGGGTGTCAAAATATTTTAAATGTTCTGAACTTGTTTGTAATTAATTAGAGTTGAACATGTGTTAACTGCAAGGTTATTTCAAATCACCAAAACACATTAAAATAGCCCCCCAAAATGGCAAGTCTACATTAAGTCTACATTGTACTATATTATACATGGATAGCTTGGGAGTCCAAACTCCAAATATATTTTTACATACTAACAAACTTTATTCAAACTAGTGCAGGCCCCTCCTGGGGATTTCAGTCCCCCTTGAAGGCCTTAATTAGAAATTCTGGCTACATCACTGCTCAATTCCATTGCCAATGATGGTGTTAGCATGATTAGACAGAGTAGGTTAACAAACTAGTGTGTATTATGAGATAATCCATTGAACACCAATGATCTATTCCAACATATAAAATCATGTGGTGGATCCAGCAAAGTTTTTTTGGG